AAACGAGAGACCATGACAATAGTATGTTGGGCATAGCTGGGTCATGGATCAGGGTGAGCCCAGCAGTGCTAACGGCTGGTATGGGACACAGACCCATCTCTGGGGAGAAGAAGGTGCAGAGATAGTGCCAAACTGCCCACGTATTCCAGACTTGGCCTTCCCTCTCACTGGTGCCGGGTGTGTGCATGCCCAAAATCCCAAGAGGAAGATGGAGGAGAAGGGATTCTGGATTGTGAGCACGAATGCAGTCACGCTCACACCTTGCCTAACCCTCAGTGGCTCCCACCTACCTGCTGCTCACCCAGGACCCCAGCACCCTCTTCCCATCCTCTGATCTGTTCTGGGAGTCTAAGGACTGTGCCCAGGAACATAGCCCCTACTGGGAAGCAGCATACAGGCAGGGCCGTGCCACTGCCCTGCTCCAGACCCCCTGTGAGCAGTGTCACCTCCCAGATTCTGGAGTGTCCTCTGCGGCCGCCGGGGTTACTTGTGGTCCAAGGCAGAGGGAAGCCAGGGACGTGGCTCTCCCAACTCTGTCTCAATCAACATCCAAAGCACAGCTTGTGCCTGGGGTCTCACCACGTCTCTTTTGTGGACGACCATTTAGCTTCTGGCCTGGTCTCTGTGAAGGTGTGAAATCCATTCTTCAGCTTGGGCCATGGGGAAGACTCCCCAAAAATCCCTCTATTTTTATTTCTTTTCTCCTTGACCCAAGGCCTCTTCCTCTTTCAAGTAAAAGACACAAAAGCACGTGTGCACGCCAGCTTCCACGAGCGGACACCCAGTGGTGCCACGGACCCAGTTCTGTCTCTGCAGTGCACCTGGACCTGGCTGGGGTGCTCTTATGTGATCTCATCTCTCTGCTCCGCAGGTGCTGAGCCAAGGCCGCTAGGTCACTGGAAAGAAAGAATTTTATGGTGCGGGCCCCATAGCCTAGTGGTTAAGGGAGCTGGGTCCTACATGGCCAACCAAGGTCCTGCACTGGTGACTTGAAAAACATGCCAAGTACATATGTGTGTGTGCCTCAAATCTCAACATGATGGAGATGGAGGAGAAATGGAAGATAAGGGACTGTGGAGTGACCACACTCCATTGGGAGGTGCTTTCTCCCTCTCCGTCTGCCTCTGTCTCTCTGTCTCTGGTGAGTGCATATGCCTTCTGGAAATTAAAAAAACAAAGTGTATATATATATATATATATATATATACACACACACACACAAATAAAACGAGCTGATTTTTTTTTTTGAGAGAGATTTTTGCTATAGGGTGCGTGCGCTCACCAGACAGACAGAGAGAGACAGAGAGACAGAAAGTGAGAAATCACCCCCCGGGGGGGATGGTCATGCCGCAATCCCTTCTCCTCCATTTTCCTCTCGGGATCCTGGGCATGCACGCACACGCGCCCGGCGTGAGTTTTAAGCCACCGGGTCCGGGACGCGAACTGCAGTCGACTACGTGGGAGTCCAGCGACATAGCCATTATGCTAACTGCTGGTTCCCAAAATGAGCTGATTATGAAACTTAAAAAAAATCCTATCATAGCCATTGTTTAACAAAAACATACTGTTGTGGGAAAATTTAATTCTTTTTCTTTTTTGGAGAGGTTTTTGTTATAGGGCGCGTGCGCTCGCCAGACAGACAGAGAAAGACAGAGAGATAAAAAGCAAGAAATCACCCCCCAGGGGGGATAGCCACACCACAATCCCTTCTCCTCCATTCTCCTCTCAGGATCTTGGGCACACATGCACACGCACCTGGCGTGAGTTTAAGCCACCGGGTCCAGGACTCGAACCGTGGTCGACTACGTGGGAGTCCAGCGATATAGCCATTACGCTAACTGCTGGTCCCCCTTAATTCTTAATTCTCCCATATGAAATAACTTAAGGTGTATGACAAAACCTAATAAACAATGGGGCAATTATGTTTCCAAAAGGATTACATATAATTCCCGCGAGAGTGGGAAGACAAAAGCCTTGCTGTCTTTTGGGAAAGCGCTACAACTCACTCTCTTTTGCTTTGAGAGCAGGTCTATGGATTTAGCCAAGGAGGACTGTGAAGGAGCTGCTGCCGCTGCTTATCTTTTACAGAGCTGTAATTTTGAGTACCTTTTTACTTAACCTGTCATAGCCACTTATAAACTTAGAAAATCATAAAAAGACAACTAGCTGAAGCACAATCATTTGGGGAAGACAGTAAACTCTTGGTTACCTCTCTGAGTACCAGAAAGTTGGAGTGTGGGCTAAGGGAGGCTTATTGTGAGGCTCTAGGCAAGACATTTCTTGGGTCAACAGTGGCCTTTTGGGCCTTAAAGACATTGTAAGAAAAGGAAGAAGAAAGTATTTTTGCCTTCACATTGCTCAGTTCTGACTTTCTAGGGGACTGATGGTTACTCTCCTGGCCCTTGGAATGCTATGGAGGTATCCTTTGCTGTTGTCTTTGCTGGTGGGCTGAGCACATTGCCACGTGAGCTTCAGGACTCTGCATCAGCTGCGATCTCTTTATTTATTTATTTATTTATTTATTTGAGAGATTTTCACTGTAGGGCGCGTGCGCTCGCCAGACAGACAGAGAGAGACATAGAGACAGAAAGCGAGAAATCACCCCCCAGGGGGATGGTCACGCCACAATCCCTTCTCCTCCATTCTCCTCTCGGGATCTTGGGCACCCACGCACACGCGCCCGGCGTGAGTTTTAAGCCACCGGGTCCGGGACACGAACCGCGGTCGACTACGTGGGAGTCCAGCGACATAGCCATTACGCTAACTGCTGGTTCCCTCTTTACTTATTTTTAAGCCTTTCTTTCTTTCTTCTTTCTTCTTTCTTTCCTTTTCTTTTTCTCTCTTTCTTTCTCTTTCATGAAAGTGAGAAACGGAGACAGAGAGAAACAAGCACACCCAAGAGGGTCTCACAGCACTACCCCCCAACTCGTTTCCCAGATGACCAGAATCCTGGCCACATACACTTGGCATGTACAGGGGGGCCAGGAAAACAAACCCATGAATCAAGCGTCACTTGAGCAGTGTGTTTCCTCCACGTTTCCTGGCCAGCCCAGCTTGTTGTTTTCTTCTTCTTTTTTAAAAATTAGTATTATTTGTTCTTTAGGGTAAGTGCACTCACTGGAGAGATGGAGTCAGAGAAGAGAAAGTGAGAAATCATCCCCTAGGGGAGGATGGCATGCCACAATCCCTTCTTCATTTCCTCTCAGGACTTTGGGCACGCCCGCATATGCGCTTGGTGTGAGTTCAGACCTCTGGATCTGGGACTCTAACTGTGGTTGGCTATGTGGAGTCCTGCACCTTAACCACTACACCACCTGCTGGTCCCCATCTGTAATATTTACAGGAGCATTGAGTGTGTTAATTATTCATTTTTCTTACCTAACTTTAAGAAATGATGGAATTATTATCGGGGAGCTTTGTCTCATGTAGTCTAGGCCTCAGCTAATAAGGTTGAACTGACCTGCCCACCATTTCCTGTGGAATTATAGAGGATGAGGGAAGAATTACGTCTTGTAATTATACTTTCTTTTATTTTTTAATAAGAAAAAAAAAAATTACTCATGATGACCCAGGCAAAAAGACCCAGGTCTTTAACAACCAGCATCAACTATTTCTGGGTCAATTGCCTCATAACCTTGAGTATTCAGGCTTTAAGGCTTATTTAAGGAAGGATGTGGGGTCATTTATAATCCTGTAGACTATGACTCTTCCACCAGAATCTACTTAAGACCTCATTACGAATTACATTAAAGTTCTTTCTGGTTGTGATATTGTCAGCAAAGAGCTCAGTCAACCTAACCAAGATCACTTGGGGGCGGTGCTCAGGAAGGAGAACTGTTATAACTCATCCTTTTTTCCTTTGCTAGGTGCAGATGAATTAATTATAGTTCCCAGAGAACTATTCCCTGTTGCTTAAAATAGTATCAAATTTTCCACCCAAGTCTTCTCTGAATAGAGGCAATTCTGCTTGACATTAGGACAGGGCTCTGGAATCCAGAGACGGACGTCATCTACATTGGCTCCCCTGCTCCCATCAGTTGGCTTGAGCACTCGGGCCTTGCTTTCTTCCTCTGTAAAATGGGAGTGAAATTTGCTTAGTCATTTTCTTCAGGATGTTTTAGGGGAAATATTTGAAGATCGTTTTTAATGTTTTGAGTAACTCAAGTGGGAAGACAATGGATGTGAGGGAATTTTTGAGAAGAAATCTGTCTACTATGAATTGAGTAATCTCTTGGGTTCTTTAGATAAGATGAAGATTAATCTTTAGGCTCTGGAGGCCTGGCTTTTGGAAAAGAGCTATGACTCATTTCTACTACTGGAGACTTACATCGAGTAATGAATGAGTTAGCCAGCAAGTGGAGTTGTGGTTAAGGCACTGGGTTCGAGTCCGAGACCTGGTGGCTTGCTTTCTCACTTTTCTTCTCTCTTTCTTTCTCTCTGTTAAGCGCACATGCCCTGTAGCAAATTAGTAGTAATAATAATGATGATGATAAATAAAATTAAAATTTTTTAAGAGAGATTTTTGCTATAGAGTGCGTGCATTTGCTGGAGAGAGAGACAGAAAACAAGAAATCATCCTCTGGGGTGGGGGTGATGGCCATGCCATAATCCGTTCTCCTTCAGTCTCCTCTCAGGATCTTTGGCAGGCATGCATGTGTGCCCAGCATGATTTTAACTCAATGAATCTGGGACTCAAACGGCTACTGACTACATGGGAGTCCAGCAATATAACCATTATGCCATCTGCTGGTCCCTATAAATAATTCTTTTTTTTAAAAGAAAAGACTGGATGAGACTTGGTCTTGCTCTGAGGTTTAAACAATGTTTGAGTCCAACCTTTAAAAAACTCATCATAAGTGAGTTTGATATTTAAGCTCTTTATGTAAGCTTTTATCTTATTTTTGTTAGATGAGACTGAATTTTTAGCTCTAGATTTAAAAAAGATGCTTTAGTGTACAATTTTCTCATGAAGTAACCCACGTCTTTCTTTTTTCCTACAGACAAAACAGTGTGGAGGCTTATCCCATATTTATGATCACATTGTGGATGGCTGGATGGTATTTCAACCAAGGTAATTAAATACAATCAGCTCTGGGGCTGGCAGATGGCATGGTGGGTAATGTACTAGATTCCCATGGTTCAAGCCCTGGACCCAGTGGCTTGAAAATCATGCCATGCATGCCCAAAATCCTGAGAGGAGAACAGAGAGGGGTTGGTTGATTTCTCACTCTCTCTGTCTTTCTCTAGTGAGTGCAAATGCCCATGGCAAAAACCTTAACAACCACCACTATATATATATATAGACTATGGGTCTTAAAACTATAAGAGAGCAGATATACAATAGCTACTGATGTTGGAAATGATTTTAAACAAAATAGTGTCTTTGTGCATCAAACAACATTGCATTACAGATATGCTAATGTTTAACTAGCTTCATTCTGGTTTAGTTCAATAATTAAAAATTAAAAAACAAAAAACAAAAAACTTGGAACAAACTATATCAGGGGCATTCAAAAATGAAGATAACGTACATTCTGTCTTCAAATCTAAAAATGTAATTCTAATGAACCAAAGTAATAGAACACAAATTCATAGTTCACCTTAATAATTATAGCTAACATGAGAGCTCTTCAAAAAGTCCATACGGGACCAGCAGATGGCATAATGGTTATGTTGCTGGACTCCCACAAAATCATCCGTAGTTCGAGTCCAGGATTTGGTGGCTTAAAAGTCACACTGGGTGTGTGTGTGTGTCTGCCCAAGATCCCAAGAGAAGAATGAAGGAGAAGGGACTGTGCATGGCCGTCCCCCCTTGGGGCGGGGAGTGATTTCTTGCTTTCTGTCTGTCTCTCTCTCTTTCAGGTGAGCACATGTGCCCGATAGTAAAAAACAAACAAATAAACAAACAAAAAAACTTCTGAAAATAAATAAATAGCCCATAGAAAATGTCCATTTTGAAAAAAACTATCTATGAATGATTTTTTTGCATCATAATAAACTAGTATTTTAATTTCAGTTTTTCAGTGAGGGACTTTGAAGTCTCCCCCTCATATTTATTGAGCATTTATTATGTGCCAGGTACTATTTTTAAATTTTATGAGTTTATTGTCTCATATATAAGACTTATGGGGGACCAGCAGTTAGTGTAATGGCTATGTCGCTGGATTCCCATGAAGTCCTGACCCGGTGGCTTATACTCAATCCCGGCGCATGTGCATGTGCGTCCAAGATCCCAAGAGGAGAATGGAGGAGAAGAGATTGCGGCGTGACCATCCCCCCTGGAGGGTGATTTCTCACTTTCTGTCTCTGTGTCTCTCTGTCTTTCTGGTGATCGCACGCGCCCTATAGCAAAAACCTCTCAAAAAAAAAAAAAAAGACTTATGGGATTAAAAACTTTCACACAAGATAGATAGAGTATATAAGTAATTCTTTGTACCTGAGGAAACTGAGGTACAGTGAGGTTAAATAATTTGTCCAACTCGACATTCACCAACATCAGGTAAATTTCTGTTTTCAGTACAGAGCGATGTCTACACGTATTTGTCCCAACAACTCATGTACGTTTAGGGGTCCCAAGGATCTAGTACAGAGGAACTCTAGAAACGTGCATTATCTATTCTACTGGAGTATCCTCAGTGAGCTGAGGGTCTTATCCAAGTTCTGCCTATCTGTCTTTCAGGGAGTCAGGTCAGCACCATACCTTAGTTGCAGAAATTCAATTTCCTTTGCTTTCTGGTAACACTTATTGTCTCATTTCCATCTGCACTTGATGGCTGAGATTTCAATAAACCAAAATAAACCAAAATCCAGCTGCTTTCACAAGCAACACCATCGCTTTTGTTCTTGTCAATTTTATTCTTTACTGAGGAATTTTAGATAAAATATCTGAGGCAGCTGTCCTCAATCTGTTTGGCACCAGGGGCCTGAAAGACAATTTTCCCATGGATTTTGGGAGTAGGGGTTATGAGAACAGGTAACCTAGAGCCCTCACATGTGCAGTTCACAATAGGTTCTCACACTCCTAGGAGAATAGAATGGTGGCGCTGCTCATTAGATGGGAGGTGGAGCTAAGGCAATAATGCCAGTGAAGGGGAGCGGCTGTAAATTCTGATGAAGCTTTGCTAGCTCCCCCCACCATTCACCTCCTGCTGTGTGGCCCAGTTTCTGATATGCCACAGACTCATACTGGTCCATGGCCTGGGGCTTGGTGACCCCAGCTTTAGAGAAAGACTTAACTTTATTCCAGCTCACACTTTGGTCCCTGAAGGGTAAGAATGAAAGCAGCATTCCTCATCACAGAAAAGCATACTAACAACTAATAAGAAAACTGCCTTTTGAGAAAGAGACTCCATTTCCGCCCTTTGAAACTTTGGATTTCACTGTGATGAGTTGAATGAGCCTAGCTGCCTTTCAGAAAAGCATTTCTTAGGTATCTGGTCATAATTTTCTTTCCTTTTTTTTTTTTTTTTTTTGAGAGGTTTTCGCTATAGGGCGTTTGTGCTTGCCAGACAGACAGAGAGAGACAGAGAGACAGAAAGTGAGAAATCACCCCCCAGGGGGGATGGCCACGCCGCAATCCCTTCTCCTCCATTCTCCTCTCGGGATCTTGGGCATGCACGCACATGCGCCTGGCGTGAGTTTTAAGCCACTGGGTCCGGGATGCAAATCGCGGTCAACTACGTGGGACATAGCCATTATGGGTCAACTCCAGCGACATAGCCATTATGCTAACTGCTGGTCCTATAATTTTCTTTCCTTTTTCTTCCTTGTTCAAAATAAGTTGTGTATTAACTACCCTGGACTGTTCTCATTGGCTTCGTGGGAGTCACTCACCAGAGAGGGAATCTTAGAACCGAGAGCATGATCAGAATCTCTTGACTTTCTCGGACACCAGGTGCCACACCACCTCTTCTTTCCAGCTCTGTGCTTGGTCTCCGGCCTCATCCTCTGGGGCCCTGTGCAAACATAATCTGCTCTGGAAGCCTTCTTTCCCAGACCCCTTGCTAAAGGTGTCTTCCTCCAGTTCTTTCTGTCCCATCACTTTTCATTTCTTTCTTGGGTCTTCCAAGTCTGGAATTTTCTCATCATTTTTTTTTTTTCTTTGCTGATAAAATATAAACTCGACAAACACAGGGAACTTTTATCTTTTTCACTGCAAACCCCAATCCTTAGAATAATACTTGATAAAGAGTAGAAAAAAAACCAAACTTTGTGATAAGGTAAAATAATTAATTTAACTATATCTGATGTATCCCAGACTTCAAATGCATGCAAGAAGACTGTGGCAATTTGCATCTCGAAGGTGCTGAGGAAAGAAGAGGATCCTTTACTAAGGGAAGAGGCTGATATTTCTCACTGGACAGGATGGCAGAGCAACAGCCCATATCTCACTTGTCTTTCTTTTTTAGATGAGAATTTACATGTATTAATATATGCACATCTTGAGCTGGCTCTGTGGCCTAGTGGTTAAGGGAGCTGGATCCCACATGATCAACCATACAATTTGAGAAACACACCAGGTGTGCGTGTGCATTTCCCCAAATCTTGCCAGGGTGGAGAAATGGAAGAGAAGGGATTGTGACATGATCATGCCCCATTTGGGGGTGATTTCTCCCCACCACTCCCAGTGAGGATTCATGCTTTCTCGTCAGTATATGAGTGTCCATGAGATTCAAGTGTGCCTCAAATCCCTGTCAAGATACAGAGCACGGCTACTGCCCAGAAAGCTTCCTCTCGTCTTTCCTAGTCAATGCCATACTCACTCCCTTCCAGTTGCAAGCACTCTTCTGATTTCTCCGTCATTCATTTTGGCCACTCTAAGCTTCATAATGTACATCCTTGTAGAATGCTTCATTTAGTCAGCCACATGTTTTTGAGATTCATCATATTGTTGCAGGAATCAGTTTCTTCTCATTGATGAGTAGCTTGGTTCTCCATTCTCTTGTTGATAGTTCGGGGCTATTATTATTATTATATTATTATTATACTTCTTTATTTATTATCTTTGGTTTTTTTTCTTTGTTTTCTTTTCTTCTTCTTCTTTTTTTTT